GGGGGGGGGGGGGGGGGGGCGAGACGGAAGGGGCTGCGTCAGGGTGTTGTCTTTACTCTGGTATGTTGTACAAACGCCCACCCTCACACCCTTCTCTTTCCAATCCTTGTGGCTTTCTGCTGCGGATCCATTTCCGTGTTTCATTTGGAAACAATGGACCTTCCTTGTCCCCAATGCTTAATCAGTGATCCGTGGCAGAATGGCCATTTGTATATTTCACGATAAAAAGCGGTGTCACCCAATTTTCGGTGACCTTCATTACGATATATATCACCCCTCCAAAATATCAAGGCACCCCCCCTTATCAGCAGGTTTGATAACAATGTCATCCCGAGCACGAAGTGATTGAAGGGCACTAAATTCGACGTCAGTGAGATTGGGTGGCCTTTTGGGCCTAAACTTGGAGAGCTGTTTTATATATTAAATAGTTCAAGGGACCCACATTGTCCTTGGTCTTCTGAACGAGTAACGTTTAGAATTCAACACGCGAATGAATTGGACGATGTCCTTTCTTAAAATGGAGGAACATGAGAAAGAAAAAATGGATTTAACACTCGAAATGAAGTCTGAAGTCTGAACACTTTGAAGTCTGAACATGCTTCAAACTCAAGCCAAATCACTATCATTGAATGGCATTTTTATTTAAATTCACCAATCGAAAACAGTGCGTTAGCTTCACTTCATTACGATAGCCATTAGCGATAGCCATTATATTTGAATTCAAGTTAATAATGCTTTTCAAGGAGTTGGATCAACTCTAAAAGTGTTGAATCAACTCTAAAAACGGTGACAAAATCACTCTTTTATATTTGATTCAACTCCATAAAGTTTACAGTGCATTGATTTCTCTATACCTGCTCCGTAGTTCGTCCATTCACGTTCACTGAAAATTATCAAAACCAGACTTTTTAATAGTATATATTTTAACACTTTGAAATTCTTTTGTGCACACATTTAAAACTTGCATTGCGTTACAACTACAAACACGTTCTATCGTTTATATAGTATACGAATTACGAACTAAGTTTTCTGGTCCATTTCGAATTTCATTTTCATAACATTTATATTAACTTCTAACATTAAGAGACATTAGAATATATATAAAAATAATATATTGTTTGAGAGGCGTCAGAGTATCAGAGGTGCGAGACGAATGGCTGAACGCACACAAAACTTCACTTTTGAAACACTAAAGTTTTTGGTTGAACGTTGTCGATACATCTTTGAAGATTGTAACGATTATTTAACAAAAATCCCACCAACATTTTGTTTCACAAAATATCTTAAAGCTTCAGCAGCTCTTGAAAATTCTAACATCTGTCGCACTTTATTCTAGTAATATTTATTATTTAAGAAGACCGGTCAATAAAATGGTAAAACGTTAAACGATTATTACTTGTAAATGTTTCTAAAATTTAGTATAAATTTGATATATGCATAATATGTTCTTAGTTATCTATACCTTTACCACCTTTCCGACAACGTCCTTGTACTACCTTCTGAACTGTAAAATTCTTTTCGTACACTTTTGTACAGTCCTAATTGTAGTTCTTCTGATGTTGGGTTTTCGTTGAGAAATATCTACGTTTCATTTGTACAAGCAACACCACAATGATCCATGCACATTCGTGTACACATAGGCATATTCGCATGTGAATGATTGTTTTCATTTCAGCCGATCATACCATATATTTTTAAAAGCTCTCATAACCGCAAGAGTTGTTCGGATTCCTAGAGGTTTTTGCTATAAAGGATGTTTTTTCAAGCTTTCGAAGCGCCTGATATGGTAACCTTTAAAACTGCGGGAATAAGACTGTCATTTTCAGTATTTCACGCATAGATGATCTATAGTTAGTACCATTATTAATAACAAGTGTTGTATCGTAATAAAAGTTTAATTCTTTCCATAAAGTAAATATTTGCATTTCGCTGGTTAAACTTGTAAATCAGGAACCAACACTTGATGCTTGTGGCAGATGTTTTATATTTCTCCAACGAATACAACAATTATTCACATTTAGTTTTTCAATCCAGAATTAATCCTCGCCTGGAGCCGTACAGATTTTTGTAATACCACATTAACCCGTCCCGTTTCCTTTGCAATATTACGCGTCTGTTTAATATAATTGGATTTCTTGAATAACAGCCGATTTTGCAGTTTTTATTGAACGAGAATGGCATGGCACAAACTATACTGCGTTGGAAATAGTCAGCAGAAGATGTTCATCTTTATAACCAGTATATTATCCATTAATTCATTTTCCTAATTTCGTTGTTCGCTCAGAGTACACACGAATGAAGAATACGTATTGTTCTGCATGTCATCCAAGTTAAGGCAGGAGCAAATGTTTCAGATTTTGTTGATGGTGTTTATAATGCTTGCATTCATCAATGTATGTCGCAAATTGGTAGTTGAATTTCACAGTCATTTGCAGCAAACACAGGAAAAGATACTGAGCAGTGTGACCAGATACTGTAATATGCTTTCATGATTAATAGTTCAAATGCATCGCCAGAATGTGATTCCGTGGAAATATTTCCTGAATTTTTGTGTTTCTTATATTAGGCTACTTGCTTCATATTGTTCACTACCATCAATCTTTAACCACGTTGTGGAATGTTGGATAAAGTTTATTATTTTATTTTTCACAAATATAGAACTCAATCGGTATGTTTGTGTGTCACACATGCAAGTAAACATGCTTATTCTGTTACAAGCTCCAACGTATGTTGTTTCCATCTTTCAATTAAAGTTTATACAAATTTGCACAAAAACTTAGTGACCTTGAAAATTTTTTGTATATAATGCTATTATACAGGTATTCCTAAAGCAAACCTTTTTCAGCTGAAAACTCTTTTTTCTTATCACTAGCATATGCCAAGATAAGTCATTTTCACATATTGCTTTTGAGAACAAATAGCAAAGATATTAAAATACACGACTGAAAATCATGAAATCTGATACCTACAATCAATTTCAAAAATATTTTGGTCGCATTTTCTTTGTCAAGTTTGCACAAACTTTCTTGAATTTGCTGGTAGATCGTTGTAATAAACAATATCAACAAACATTTTCTAGACTATGTGACTGATACGAAGACTCTAGCGAATCTAAGAAATATTGAATAGGAACTACGTAAGGCAACGTTGTTGTGATATTCTCTAATAAGTGCACACGTGAATCAAATGTATCGATATTTTAAGTCCTAATTTCAAAGTAATTTCCCTTGATTCTATTTGTTTCCTAGGAATTTGTTCCAGTGAAAACCAAATCGCTAGCTTGTTCCGGAAAGAAAACCGAGGATTAGGAACGTTATCCATCTTGAATTAAAACCTTTATTAAATTTGCAACGCATTGTTACGGTTGCTTCCGCCAGTTAAGTTTTAGCAAAGGCAGCCAACAAATACTCTGTTACATCATCAACAAGCTACATACATAATGTGACACTCAAGTATATTGCAGGATAGAAAATTACATAGTATAAAGTGTATATTTTAAAGATCTACTGTACTTTAAAATATACACTTAAAATATTATTAGAACTACATTGAAATATAAATTAAACATATACTCGTACTTTACAGCCATTCATGTGACGATCGAAGCCAGAGTATTTGCGTGAGGGCTGAATATCATATCAATATACAAACTATGATGTCTTACCACTAATTGTCTTTTGACCTGACACAAATATTGAGGAATTTAAATTTCCAACATACAGTATTACCGTACTTTTTTGCTGCAAACCTTACTAAAATTTTTTGCTTACATTTCATTCACTTTTGGCTAATTTGTGCACTACAAATTTCTGGGTGTTGCTAAAACAACAGAATGATGTAATCATGACTTGCAGCTGTGTAGAGCGGACCGATTTAGTGTGAATGTTTTTATTTTGACCATTTGTGTGTTAGAAAAACACCAAATACACTATCAGTGGTGATATATTTACACCCAATAAGTGTTATAGCTGTTTTAAAGCACTTATTGAGTGTAATTTTCTTGTTTTCCGAACACAAAAATGGTTTTAGCATTTACGTTAAATCAAAAGCTGCAATGATCGCACCCCATTTTGCTGTTGTAGCACACCTGGGTATTTGGAGTGTAGCAGAGCAAACATTATGCTGCCTCTCTTATAAAGTTAGTGTGACAGATGAGTAGAAATTATTATAAAAAAAGCCATCATTAAAAGAATTTAATTAACACATAATCAACTTTGTATTCATGCCACAACATCAATTTCGAAAGCGTGAAAGGGGGCACACTAGAGTACGAACCCTGTTGTCGTTAGACTATTTAACATGGATTTCACTTAGGCGAAACAATGCTTTTCTTTTTATTGCGAGTGATTTGACCTATGTAAAATAATGTAGCCTACCAGTTGCTGAGTTGTATATCCAGAGACCACAGAACTGGGGTGCGGGCTAAGGGGATGTCCCACTTTTCCACCGAGTAAGAAAAGAAATAATAGACAATTGATATAGATGGGAATAGTGTTATTATTCTCATTTTGAAATGGCGTCAGGCGACTATGGTATGGGTTGATAATCAAATCTTAGTAAATTTTATATCGCCATTTAGCAACGAAATTTAGGGGTTAAAACATTTCAAAAACTGAAAGTTCGCACCCTAAACTCGCCATGCCAAACGTTTCCCAAATATGCGACTAACATTTCTTCAAAATTTGTTCAAAATTCAAATTCCCAAAGGTAGGAAAATGCAATTTCGTCAGACTATTTAGAATCTGATCGTATTTGCTAATTAATTTTATTATCGAAATGAAACAAAAAGGTGTTATTTCATAGACGAGATTTTGATAAGACCTAATATACAATAACATGTCAAATTTGGATTACATTTTCTTGATACATCCTTTATATGTCTGCACCTGCTAAGGAAACTTTGAAACATTACTATTACAGAATCTTAATTCCCTCTCAACAACGGACAAGCAACTCTGAACCACAATATCAAAGATAAAATATATTTTCTCGACTACATTTCTAGTGTGAATACTACAACTAGTGCGAATACTACAACTAGTGTGCAACTAGTAATATAAGATTCTGCGCTTGACAACGCACATACAATTCTGCACAAAACCCCTCTGAGTTCAAATATTTTCCGCTGCCATTTTCTCGCAAGCACGTACCAACTATAGCAACTTCGCAACTTTAATGCCCCTCTTCCACTATAACAGAAGCAAAACTCTGCTACTTTTCTGTCAATATATTTTCTGTTAATATTTTGACATTAGTTTTATCAAAGAATATTATTCTGCCCATTGTCAAGCACAATATAAACTAAAGCATTTGATCAACAGCAACGTAACTCGATCAAACCAACCGTTTTCCTGAAGAAAGTCAATTATATTTTCTCCAAAACAACTATCAAAATAACAATTGATATATATCTAGCTACATTTTAACCATTCTGAACAGTCGGAGTTGCACTTATAGCAACATATAATAACAGAATGCTCAGCCTAAAATGTTCTATACTACCGCATGGTAACACAATTTTAAGTCATGCTATAATTACGAATTAGACTAAGTTAAAGTGCCACTGCGATGGAAAATTGTGGTGTCTTTTTATTGTATATTCGAAAAGTATATCAGTAGATAAACAAAGTTACCAAATATCAGCGTCCAATTCCATTTTTTTCCGCCTTTTTTTTCAACGCAAACATGCAAATTTTTCGGCCGCCATTACTGAGTTATCAATTCGCGAGATGTCGAATTCTTAGCCGGATGTGACGTCATTTACTCAACACGCTTCTTTCCCGAAGGAGTAATTAACATTATCAAAGGCTCATACTAGGCTGTTTTTTGTTCAAAATTATGTCTTCTGACGAAAGCCACAGCTCAAATTTTGCAACACAATCATCTTGCAAACTCTCTTTTGCCGAAGACGTTTGTTGTGATAGCGGGGGTGATGTAAATACGGAGGAAAGTGTGGATTTGTGCGAGACCTATACTTCAGTGGAAGCTCTTGCCACTGAAGAAACAGCAAGAGCAGCAAACACTGTCTGCTAGATTGTCTGGGGAAACCTCAACTGACACCTGGTACGTTTTGGATTGTATTTATTTACGTTTTGGTTATATTTGTGATGTAAAACAAAACATGTGATGGCCATGTAAAACAAAATAAATGGTTACTGGTCTTCTTATAAAATATTATTATCACTTCCGTTATTGTACGAAACGTCTTCAATGAGAGATGACTTGAAGATTACTGTTGCCAAATTGGAACTCGGACTCACGTAAGAAAACATGTTACTTTGCACAAAGTTGTGGGAAATATATAATGGTCAATAATATATAATATATTAATGGTCCATAAGTGTAAATGTGGTAACTGTGTCCTGGCCTTTGTGGTAAAACCCGATGAATGTCGTTGTTGTTTATGTGAACCTTGTAAGGAAAAAATGCTGGAAGAAAACATGCATGACCAGCATTTGATATTGGTTGTATTTGAATACCCTCTGGAAATACCAAGACTTTAATATACCCTAACTCCACTGGAAATCTTGATGCAATGACACCCCCTATACTCTTGAATTTCCAATCTCTTCTGTGGCAGGGTGGGTGTGGGGGGTATGGCTATTTCCTGGAACTATGCAATATGACTGAGTCATCTATCAGTAATTTTTGGCATTAAGCATTCCCTCAAAAGGCTAGCCCCAGACATTTGCATGTTTTTCTTTAATGATTACCAGGTAGGTGGGTGAGAAAAAGAGCACTCTCTACTCTGGTGATGAGTGGTAAGATATTCTCATCAGCCAGGGGCAGCCAAACTGATACAATGTCTTGATCTGAGTATCATATTCTGGATTTAGTATTGTTTGAATCCCTGTAAAGATGAGCAAGGTTCTTCATCCCTGTAAGGATGAGCAAGGTACATCATCGTATAGCTATATAAGTAAGCTAAACAAGGATCTTGTATTATGAATCCTGGTGTTTTTGTGCAGAACACAGCTCACAAATGACATGATAGTTTTTGGATTACTAAATTTTAAAGCTGTCATGTTAATATTTTAATTTTCGTTTTGAAAGGTTTCTTAGGGCAGTTGCATATCGGCAAGTAGTGAAGCTTGTGTGGGGCTATACTAGCAGTTCAACAAGGTACCCCCTTCCTTGCTGTGCATATGCCAAGATACGGTTTCTGTCTTGTTTATGTGAACAATGTTGTATCTTGCCGAGTTATTTTTTTAAAACACTGACATCATGCTTGGAAGTATGATAGTAGTAAAAACTGTCCAGAATTTCCACAGCGGTGGGGGAAACAAGCAGTCAGTGACAGTTAGAAAAATCTAGAGGGATGGGGGTTCATAATTAGATCTCTTCCATTGGGGGGGGGGATATTGCCTAGAACTACACATTGAAATACTTACTCTGGTTCACTCTTTTTCCTTTTGGTATACAGAGTGGTATAATTTGGCAGCCTTTTATTCAGGTTTTGTAACTTAAACCAGCAAGTTTTAACACCCAATGTTTCAAACAACCCATATCAGATGCTGGATGCTCAGTTAAGCAGTGTATGTTTTCTTCCAGCATTTTTTCCTTACAAGGTTCACATTAACAACAATGAGTCAGGACACAGTTACCACATTTAGACCAATGAACCATCATTAATAATATATTAAGTATATTTCCCACAACTTTGTGCAAAGTAATATGTTTTCTTACGTGAGTCCGAGTTCCAATTTGGCAACACAGTAATTTTTAAGCCATCTCTCATTGACGACGTTTCGTGCAATAACGGAGGTGACAATAATATTTTATAAGGAGACCAGTAATCATTTGTTTTGTTTTACATGGCCATCACATGTTTGTTTTATGTCACAAATATTACCAAAACGTAAATAAATCCAATCCAAAATCCAAAACGCACCAGGTGTCAGTTGAGCCTTCCCCAGACAATCTAGCAGACAGTGTTTGCTGCTCTTGCTCTCTCTCTCTCTCTCAGTTATAGTACTCTTCATATATTTATATGTTTCTTCAGTGGCAAGAGCTCTTCGACTGAAGTATCATAGGCCTCGCACAAACCAACACTTTTCTCCATATTTACATCACCCCCGCTATTACAAGAAACGTCTTCGGCAAAAGAGAGTTCGCAAGATGATTGTGTTGCAAAATTTGAGCTGTGGCTTTCGTCAGAAGACATAATCTTGAACAAAAAACAGCCTAGTATGAGCCTTTGATAATATTAATTTCTCCTTCGGGAAAGAAGCGTGTTGAGTATATGACGTCACATTCGCCTAAGAAATCGACATCTAACTCAGTAATGGCGGCCGAAAAATTTGCATGTTTGCATTGAAAAAAAAGGCAGAAAAAAAACGGAATTGGACGCTGATATTTGGTAACTTTGTTTATCTAGTGATATACTTTTCGAATATACATTATAAAGACAGCACAATTTTCCATCGCCGTGGTCCTTTAAAGGTCGACGACGTCTAAATGATTCCGGTGATGCCTGCTGAAGATTTCAACCATTGTTAATGAAAACGCTACTCACAAACTTTAGGATCATACAACGACGAAACCGGAAAAAAAGTCATGCGATTTTTCCCTAATGTTTTGAATCTCATCCTTTCCAAACTTCACATCCTCCCCATAGATGGTAAACGGAGCCCAGATCCAACTGGATCGGTATTCCTCTTTTTCATGTGCCTGAAAGAAGTTCATTGTTCTTCTTAAAGCTTCACAAACTGGTGTTTCTTGGCAAAGTTCATCATAAAATTTCTCCATGAATTCCTTTGTGGCATAATCGCTAATAGGCCACAGTGTGGCAAGAACACAGCGTGCCCCAGCTGCAAGAAACGCTCGAGTTATACCTATGACACCTTCAGAAGTAATTTCACCTTGCCCGGTATGGCAACAACATAAGACTACCAAGCGAGCTTGCACAGAAATATTTAGAATATCTCGCTGCGTGAGAAGGAATGATTCCGATTTAGTAACAGACAAGCACTCTTCAGTAAGGGAAGAATTTGAAGCAAGCATTATTTCACCTCGAGTCGGTTCTCCATGGGCAGCTATATGGATTATACTAGCCCCAGTTAAAAGCTGCAATACTACCTCTTTTGTTGCCTCCCGTTGTAATAAAGGCCTTGCTTGGAAAAGCTTTGAGAGACATTTTACTTCTTCAGCGGCGTTGGGCAGGTCAGCTGGTGTAATATCTTTTCCGTTTAAACGAACTTTTCCAACAGTTGGATTACCAACAAACAATGCAAATCCAAAGTTTGAGTCAAAGGATTGTTCCATCGTACATTTTAGAGTATGCAATGAAGGCGAAATTTGAACACTGTAACTGTTGGATAAATATGAGCCATTTTTATCAATCAGTGCCGAAAATGGTGCAAAAAACAGCAGCGGGTCAGGGACAATAATGAGTTTATTGCCTTTAACAATATCTTCTACAGGATAAACTAAAAGTTTAAACAACATTTCCAAAATATTTCGATCAGAGAAATGACTATAGCTAGCAGCATCGTCAACCGCGTTTTTAGAGGCAGCCTGTCCGCTTGGAAACTCAATAGGAGACATCACTTGTTTATTAGTATTAGCAACTGAATCGAGCATGTAAAAAGTAGAATTTCGATCAATATTAACATCTACCCTTCCCAGAAGTTCCATGATTAGCAGAAGAAATGTTTCCCGACGTGCTTGTAATACTTTTCTGAAGATAACTTTGTCAGTTAAAACCCAAGCATTAAGAATACCTTTCAAATCAAAAGCGAACACTAAAATGATGCTGTCATTTTTTCGTAATTGGAGAAGTGTTTGCAATCCTTCTATTTCTATTTCTTCTTCTCTCCCTTCAATTCTATTCCATATCGCGCGGGCATAATGGAACAAGTCTTTACCAACAAAATTCCTACGTCTAACAATACAGCAATGGAGCTCTTTAGACCTAGCAAGGTCTATGACTAATAATGCGGACTCAGCGCGCTCCAACGAAAGGAAACAACTCATTAAAATTGTATGAGATTCGAAATATTGCTTCGCGAATGCCAGTTGATTTTGTTCCGGAACTGAATCTAAAAACATTTTATCAAAAAAACTAATTGATTCTATTAGGTGAGATGTTGCAACTTCATACTCTCCTAAACGTCGATGGGAATTATTTCCTATTGATATTCCTGACCGATCGCCAATAGCAGGGCTTATTTCTACATCTTTTTTGTTATACCCATTGACCTTCTGATATTCTCCTAAACTATGATAGGCACTGCCCAAATTGGCATTGCTTATTGCCATTCCTGATCGATCGCCAATAGCGGTGCTTATATCAAGACTTTTTTTGTGATAGCCAATGCCCTTCTCATATTCTCCTAAACAATCATAGGCATTGCCCAAATTGCCATTGCTTATTCCTATTCCTGATTGATCGCCAATAGCAGTGCTTATTTCTAGACTTTTTTTGTGATATTCAATGGCCCTCCGATATTCTCCTAAACCATGACAGGCATTGCCCAAATTGCCATTGCTTCTTACTATTCCTGATCGATCGCCAATAGCAGTGCTTATTTCTAGATCTTTTTTGTGATATTCAATGGCCTTCAGATATTCTCCTAAACTATCATAGGCATTGCCCAAACCGGAATTGCTGCCTGCTATTCTTGATCGATCGCCAATAGCAGTGCTTATTTCTAGATCTTTATTGTGATAGTCAATGGCCTTCTGATATTCTCCTAAATCATAATAGGCAATGCCCAAACTGCCATTGCTGTTTGCTATTCCTGATCGATCGCCAATAGCAGAGCTTATTTCTAGATTTTTTTTGTGATAGTCAATGGCCTTCTGATATTCTCCTAAACTACGACAGGTAATGCCCAAACTGCCATTGCTTTTTGCTATTCCTGATCGATCGCCAATAGCAGTGCTTATTTCTAGACTTTTTTTGTGATAGTAAATGGCCTTCTGATATTCTCCTAAACTGTAATAGGCATTGCCCAAATTGCCATTGCTGTTTGCTATTCCTGATCGACCGCAAATAGCAGTGCTAATTTCTAGATTTTTTTTGTGATAGCCAATGGCCTTCCGATATTCTCCTAAACTATAATAGCAATTGCCCAAATTGCCATTGCTTTTTGCTATTCCTGATCGATCGCCAATAGCAGTGCTTATTTCCAGATCTTTTTTGTGATAGTCAATGGCCTTCTGATATTCCCCTAAACTATAATAGACATTGCCCAAATTGGCATTGCTTCTTGCTATTCCTGACCGATCGCCAAAAGCAGTGCTCATTTCCAGATCTTTTTTGTGATAGTCAATGGCCTTCTGATATTCTCCTAAACTATCATAGGCAATGCCCAAATTGCCATTGCTTTTTGCTACCCCTGATCGATCGCCAATAGCAGTGCTTATTTCTAGATCTTTTTTGTGATAGTCAATGGCCTTCGGATATTCTCCTAAACTATCATAGGCATTGCCCAAATTGCAATTGCTTGTCGCTATTCCTGATCGATCGCCAATAGCAGTGCTTATTTCTAGATTTTTTTGGTGATAGTGAATGGCCTTCTGATATTCTCCTAAACAATAATAGCCATTTCCCAAATTGCCATTGCTTTTTGCTATTCCTGATCGATCACCAATAGCAGTGTTTATTTCTAGATCTTTTTTGTGATACTCAATGGCCTTCTGATATTCTTCTAAACTATCATAGGCATTGCCCAAATTGCCATTGCTTCTTGCTATTCCTGATCGATCGCCAATAGCAGTGCTTATTTCTAGATCTTTTTTGTGATAGTCAATGGCCTTCTGATATTCTCCTAAACTATCATAGGCATTGCCCAAATTGCCATTGCTTCTTGCTATTCCTAATGGATCGGCAATAGCAGTGCTTATTTCTAGATCATTTTTGTGATGGTCAATGGCCTTCTGATATTCCCATAAACTATCATAAGCATTGCCCAAATTGCCATTGCTTCTTGCAATTCCTAATCGGTCGCCACTAGCAGTGCTTATTTCCAGATGTTTTTTGAGATAGTCAATGGCATTCTGATATTCTCCTAAACTATAATAGGCACTTCCCAAATTGGCATTGCTTATTGCTATTCCTGATCGATCGCCAATAGCGGTGCTTATTTCTAGACTTTTTTTGTGATAGCCAATGGCCTCCTGATATTCTCCTAAACTATCATAGGCATTGCCCAAATTGGCATTGCTTATTGTTATTCCTGGTTGATCGTCAATAGCAGTGCTTATTTCTAAACTTTTTTTGTGATAGTCAATGGCCTTCTGATATTCTCCTAAACTATGATAGGCACTGCCCAAATTGGCACTGCTTCTTAGTATTCCTGATCTATCGCCAATAGCAGTGCTTATATCTAGATCTTTTTTATGATAGTCAATGGCATTCTGATATTCTCGTAAACTATCATAGGCATTCCCCAAACCGGAATTGCTTCTTGCTATTCCTGATCGATCACCAATAGCAGTGCTTATTTCTAGATCTTTTTTGTGAGAGTCAATGGCCTTCTGATATTCTCCTAAACTATCATAGGCATTGCCCAAATTGGCATTGCTTCTTGCTATTCCTAATCGATCGCCAATAGCAATGCTTATTTCTAGATTTTTTTTGTGATAGTCAATGGCCTTCTGATATTCTCCTAAACTATAATAGGCATTGCCCAAATTGCCATTGCTTTTTGCTATTCCTGATCGATCGCCAATAACTGTGCTTATTTCTAGATTTTTTTTGTGACAGTCAAAGGCCTTCTCATATTCTCCTAAACAATCATAGGTATTGCCCAAATTGCTATTGCTTCTTGCCATTCCTGACCGATCGCCAATAGCAGTACTTATTTCTAGAACTTTTTTGTGATAGTCGATGGCCATCTGATATTGTCCTAAATTATTATAGGCAATGCCCAAATTGGCATTGCTTTTTGCTATTCCTAATCGATCGCCAATAGCAGTGCTTATTTCTAGATATGTTCTGTGATAGTCAATGGCCTTCTGATGTTCTCCTAAACTATGATACGCAATACCCAAATTGCAATTGCTTCTTGCTATTCCTGACCGATCGCCAATACCAGTGCTTATTTCTAGATCTTTTTTGTGATATTCAATGGCCTTCTGATGTTCTCCTAAACTATGATAGGCAATGCCCAAATTGCAATTGCTTCTTGCTATTCCTGATCGATCGCCAATAGCAGTGCTTATTTCTAGATCCTTTTTGTGATAGTCAATGGCCTTCTGATATTCTCCTGAACTATCATAGGCATTGCCCAAATTGGCATTGCTTCTTGCTATTCCTGACCGATCGCCAATAGCAGTGCTTATTTCTAGACCTGTTTTGTGATAGTGAATGGCCTTCTGAGATTCTCCTAAACTATTATAGGCGTTGCCCAAATTGCCATTGCTTCTTGCTATTCCTAACCGATCGTCAATAGCAGTGCTTATTTCTAGACCTGTTTTGTGATAGTCAATGGCCTTCCGATATTCTCCTAAACTATTATAGGCATTGCCTAAATCGCCATTGCTTCTTGCTATTCGTGATCGATTGCCAATAGCAGTGCTTATTTCTAGATCTTTTTTGTGATAGTCAATGGCCTTTTGATATTCACCTAAACTATGATAGGCATTGCCCAAATTGCCATTGCTTTTTGCTATTCCTGATCGATCGCCAATAGCAGTGCTTATTTCTATATCTTTTTTGTGATAGTCAATGGCCTTCTGATACTCTCCTAAACTATGATAGGCATTGCCCAAATTGCCATTGCTTCTTGCTATTCCTGATCGATCGCCAATAGCAGTGCTTATTTCCCGATTTTTTTTGTGATAGTCAATGGCCTTCTGATATTCTCGTAAACTATCATAGGCATTGCCCAAATTGGCATTGCTTCTTGCTATTCCTGATCGATCGCCAATAGCAGTGCTTATTTCTAGATCTTTTTTGTGATAGTCAATGGCCTTCTGATATTCTCCTACACTATGATAGGCAATGCCCAAATTGCCATTGCTTCTTGCTATTTCTGATCGATCGCCAATAGCAGTGTTACTTTGTAGAACATTTTTGTAATAGTCAATGGCCTTGTGTAGACCATCTGTAGTCCATTCTCCTGAAGTATGATAGGTATCATCCAAATTTCTATTGCTTCTTATCATCCCCGACCAATTAGCAGTTTCAGTGCACATTTGTAAAAATTTTATAATGATCGATGGCCTTTATAATTTCTTCTGATATATTGTACCATAGACATCTCCCAAAATATAACTGTTTTTTAATATTAGTGGCGATTCGCGATTTGAAGCGCTATGTTATTTTTGGAAGCCATTGAATTACCTTTTTAAATACCTTTTTGTTAAATTTGTTGGTCGTTCTGAAACAAAGACATACAGGAGTAGATTAGGTGGATAGAATCGCGACATCCTTCTGTGCATTTATCATAAATCTACGGGCTTAGACTTTTCAGGAGTAGATTAGGTGGATAGAATCGCGATATCCTTCTGTGCATTTATCATAAATCTACGGGCTTAGACTTTTCAGATTGTCGAGACATCTTACCTTTAATGTTGAAGGCCATTATTGTTATAGCGGTAAATTCAAACAGCTAGCTTGTGCAGATAATTCGCTCTCTGAAAATTGGAAAAAGAAACATGAAATTTTGAGCGATGGCCCTATCATGTGTTCGAAGAAGGTATTTTGTGCTTTCGTACTGCAATCATGCACATAACTTGTTAGTAAAATTTTCATTTGCCTCTGTGATAGTTAAATGGTAGATTCCGCCCTCCCTCTTCCCCAACACAACGTTATTGAATTACTTTTAAAATGATGGGAAATAATGGCAAGATTGAGTGGGGGAGAGGGAGGAAATCGTATGCGAAAGGTTATTTGAATGCACTTCATATTTGTTTAATGTTTACTGAATATGTATTTGATCTATTTTATAAAAAAGTTTTGGCCATGTTTGTCTGCTATAATGGAAGTTATATGCATTAATTATAGGTATTAAATGTAACTTTATACCGTAGCTTGGCGCGTTTACCTATACCCAAACCATAGACAGTACAGGCAATTTGCACACATTGTAGCAATTTTGTTATTTCCAGAAATAGCATGATGTATCAGATAAGATCAAGTTATAACTCCGAATTGTGAAGAAATACGATGTCTAACTATACGGTTAACCTCTGTGACCTAAATCTAGCCGGTAAATTTTTGTAATTTATGAGGACGTTCACTAAAACATTTACCAAGGTCATCCCGAATTTCGCAACAGTAATCAAAATGAGGCTGAATTAAAGCATTATATACCAATAGCAATTAAGTGTTTTGATCAACAAATTCCGATCCTTACGTTTTCTTATTATTCCAATACCTGAGGATAGTTTACTATAGCAATGAAACATACATTATCACATACCATTCTGACATTTATTTGCACAATCTAAGAGTGCAGTAGTTGTAAAATGGAAAGGTTTAAAACCAAACTGATGTTGGGATAGAAAGTTATCTTTCACCAAATAGTCAAATATTTGATCATACACAATCCAGTCCATCAGTTTGCTCACCAAATTGATAATCTATACGTGACACCTTATATACGTAAGCGCAAACTCCCCCTAGCTCTATCAGATATATTAAACATAATCTCGTGCGCGTTTATTCTCGGTCTTTCATCATTTCAATCCTGAGATTTTAAAATATTTGCTATGGTTTCCTGTAACACGGCACTACCTTCGTGATTTAAATGTAAAACCCTGTGGTTAAAATGTGAACGACTTACGTTACTGTTATCAACTGTAAGAATAACCAGTTTTTTTACTACAGTTTGACTTCAAAATAATGTTAGTCTTTTTTACTTTCCCTGCAAGTTCTTGACTATCACTTCTTATGACCAACGAGAGGATGATTATTCTTGTGTGGTTTGATTCTTGTTTAAACTGTTCTGCTAGCTCGGTAACTTTATCGCCTATGGTTCTAGCACTTAAAGTACGAACATCATTTGTACATCATGTATAACCATGCAGCTTGTCGGGATGCTTACGGATAGTAGCCTTTAAAAAATCCCCCATGCCATTGACAGTCACACCAGAAAAAGACTTAGCTGAAACGATCTGTTCTGTTCTGAATTTGATAATTAACAGTCCTCCACATATTTTATGATGGAATCCCCTGCGACAATGATCGATGTCTTTGGGTGCTGTCGTTCATGTTCTATTTGTGCTTGGTCGACCGGCTGTTGCTTATCTGACAATTCACTTTGATTTTTCTTTGACTTGAACTTACTTTTTTCTTTTTATTTGACATATAATTTTGTTGAGCATCTTGGGTTTTTGCTTTTATTAATTCACTTGTATCGTTTTTATCGGCATGACTGAGTATAGAAAATCTATCCCTTAATTGAATATTCGGATTCAAAACATCTCTCAACAGATTTGTGGAATAATCCGCTTGATTGCGATCCCTTTGTTCAATGTGATTCGATTAATCATTGTTCTCGACTATACTACTAACCTACTACTGACCACGGACTGATCTGTTTGGCTCTTCCATCGAAGTTATTCGAAGTACACTTGACAGTATATGTATGGATATGTTTTGTCCAAATCCAGGGCCTGAATTGGGAATCGAATCGTGAACAACAGGAGCTAATAACAGTCAGTATAATTTAATGTCATTATCCAACCTACTTGTGGGTGCCACAGTAAATAGCCTACAATCTATTAACAGACGTCAGACAAACTTTTACTATAATATTAACAGTTTTTTATATGATGGTTAGATTGGAACGCCTTCTCTCTACATTTCGCCTTGGTTGTCGACTGAACAATATAATGTCAGTGAATCAAATCAATCAAATCAAATCAAAAACTTTATTATTGTGTCAAATAAATTTTAGTTTACAAAGAAACTAATTGGGGACACCTACTTATATTAACTACTATATTAACTATATAAACAGAATAAATATATTATAACAAATATCTATAATTAGTGTCGATTAATTGTTGCATAAATAGCAATTAGTACAACTATTGGAAATTAAGTCGGCTATATCCATTTGGCGTATGTGTCTTTTAAACGTATCTAAGGATATAGCCGTTTTTATGGACTTATGGATCTTTGACCAAATGAACGGGCCCATACACCTCAAGCTGTGTTTCCCATACGTAACCGTGTTAAATCTAGGTATGGAGAAATCACTCACATTCCTAAGAAGAAATCACTTACATTCCTATTTACATTCCTATTTACATATAATCGTCGACCAATAATTTTGAATTATATTCCCGTCCTTATAACTGCTAGTTATTCGACACGGAAACAAAACTGAATCTATACTGCAAATTTGCATAATCCCACATCAGTGGTCCCTAATTCTGGAAAACTTTTGAATATTGAACAATATGCTGGAGGATTGAAATTCTGCACTCTTAATGCACGATCATTAAACAATAAGGATGAGTTTGACTTTGTTTGCGATCGGATTTTGTTGCAATCACGGAAATCTGGTTTTACTAATCATAAATCTGCTTCAACAGTCTATGTACTCCAGAAGTTTATGAACTCCTGGATCACCCTCACCTTGGTTGTTTAGGAGGTGGAACGGGAGTACTTTTCAGAAATAGCATTATTACCACTAAAGTTGCATGCAGCTGCTAAATTACAGTCTTTTGAGTATTCTGAATGGAGCATTAGAGTTAGAACCCAACGCCTTAAACTAATCATTATAAATAAAGCTTTATAGAGTCTGCCGTCCTTTGTATACTGACTGCCTGCTGATGACTGGTGATTTTAATATTCTTGTTACCGATAATAATGTTGACCCTACTAAGTTGCAAGATTTATTCGAAAGCGTAGGACTTATTCAGCACGTCAGATGTCTGACACACATTGGAGGTCATGCACTTGACTTAATCGTCACTCGGCAGTCTGATAAGATAATCGAGACAAGTCCCATAGCCGATTACCTGTTCTCAGATCATTCACCTGTTCTGTGTCAGTTAAAAGTTGAAAAGCCTTCATGGAAGAAATCCCACGTTTCATATCGCAAGACAAAATCTATCAACCTTTCCTTGCAAATCTGCATGCTAATATATAGAATAGATTGTTCGTTCTTTCCGTCAAGTTACCGTTTTCACTCTTAAGGCTCTGCTAGCGTTTTTCATTCATCAGTTTATGGTTTTCCTTTCTTAAGCGAGCAAGCTCACTTTCCAATTATTTAAGTTTTGCTTGGCCGAACTCATTTGTACGTTCCATTAGTTGTAATGACCTGCATCTAGGGACGAAAGCGGACTTATAGCCTCACTAATATCATTATCGAGACGTAAGCAGAAGCAAAATCGCTGACTCCTATACTGGTTGCCGCTTTGACTGAATTTACGAGCTTATAGGCAAAATAATTGGTTTTTATTGGTTGTGACATGTCTTTTGACTTTTGTGCACCATGTTAAAGCGGGTCTTTCAAACTTATTGCTCGATCGATCGTAGTGAACAGTTATACTCATATGCGCAAACATTTCTCGGGGAAGATGGGTTCCCCACGCTCTTCTCAGATATAGAACGAAGTGTGACTGAATGACTTCGTATACACTGTTTATTAGTTTATTTTTTGCAGGCCTCGATCGATCAGTAATCAGGTCCCAAGGGAATTCATACATATCGTAAATCCGCAGTATTCTTTACATGAATATAGGGCAATGTACAGCACAATATGAAGTGGAAATATTTCATTTATCAAAATCGTTTGCATTTAATAATTGCTTTACTGCCTATATAAATAATACTGCCATTAGATTGCATAGTTAGTACGAACAACTTACTGCGGACGTCGCACAACAAATAACGAAGTGATTATAATTTTCTGTTTGGTTGCAAAAGCACGCAATTTACCGTTAATCGTTATATAAATATGTAGTCGCTCATGTACGACACAGTATGACAGGCTACCAATAATAACACGGATTGTTCATTTCGATGCTTAAACAGCCAAATCGTACCGAAAATGAATGGCAAACACAATCATATTATATATATATATATATATATATATATATATATATATATATATATATATATATATATATATATATATATATATATATATATATATATATATATATATATATATATATATATATATATATATATATATATATATATAAAATAATATAAACAATAATAATAATAATATGTATTATAACAATTATAATATGTATTATAATAATATAATATAATATAATATAATATATAATAATAATAATAATATATAATAATATAATATATAATATAT